GCACTTGTTCTTCTGATTTCAGGCACGGCTGCATGATCAACCTCTGTCTTTCCGGCTGGTCGGTGGTCTTCGCGGAAGGGATCCGTGACGATTCTTGCAGCATCAAAGTCCGGGAATAGCTCTGGGCCCAGAGTATTTATGAGTTCGGTGACTTGTTGAGTAAGTGCAGCGCGCCTTTCACGCAGCTTCACAAGAGTATTGGCCGAGGACGGATTCAAGGATAGCACCAATGGTCTCAGAGATTTCACGATATCCATGCCCACCTCGCCGATGCGAAGCGCTGCGAAAGTAATGGTTGGGAATAAGATCATCCCGATAGGCACGATCAACCACAAAGGCATCCAGTCAGGAACAAACCCCTGGATACGGTTGTGGTACGCCCACCAGGTGAAGGCTGCAGTGTAAAATGCATACACTGCCGGGGCGAAAGCAAGGGCGACGAGTAGCTTCCAGGTTGCCATGACATCACGTCCTTGAAGTTTCACGGTAGATGCGGCCAGTGCTTCTTGCGACTTCTTCTTGGAGATATATTTCGTTGCAATGAAAACAGGTGCGAAAAGAATCAAGCCAGGCAGTGTCCCGATGGTCAGGAGAGCTAACTTGCCCAGACGATATATCAAGGTAGCAATGACCTGAACCCACGAGAACTTCGCATAATCTACCTGATGATCACGGATCCCTAGAAGACGGAGTTGCTTGTTGTAGTCGGCAACAGCCTTTCTGAGGTGTATAACACGAGGGTCATCCTTAAAGTATGTATAACCTTTAACAAGGCGGCGGTTGAGTTCGACCACCATGGGAAGCGGGAGGTTCTTTCCCTTGGTGTTATATAGGCGACGAGCGGCTTGAATTACCTAGAAACATGTCAGTCACAAATACCATGGTTGGAAAGGGTCGGTTCACCAACCATCAAAGTCTCATAATCAGGACTAGGTACAGTTACAGATACAAGACCCTGATAAATGGTGTCAAGCAGCGCGCCGACGGCTTCTCTTCTTTCACCTCGTTTGAACTGATCTACCATCTCCCTTGGTACCTCTATAGGGTTACCAAACTCAATCACGGCCCTTGAACGGAATTTATGAGCGTGGAAATAGTTCATTCCGCACGGAACGATCTTCAAGCCACAGTCCGGATTGTCCGCCAGAGTACCCAGCGCCATCAATGCCACACCAGCTAGAATTCAATCAGCCCAGGTCTCCGCAAGCAACGAGGCGAATCGAAGGGAAAGAGCTATACCTTTCAATGGAAGTAGGTTTGGCCTATCATGGCTGCCACCTTCTGGAAAGATACCCACACAACCACCTGCGTTGAGTCTGCCGAATACTGCTTGGTAGACCGCCGTCTGATCGACGTGAGGTGATACTTTGAACTTGGATCCTTGAAAGTTGGGGTCTTTGGCCGAGCCGTCCCCGGTAAATGCTCCATCGTCAGTGATATCATGACGTCCTGTAAGCTGGAAAAGTGCGTCCTTGGCTTTGAACGGTTTCTTGAGTATCAATTCTTCTGGACCCCGAATTTCGGCGATGGTAGCACTGTGCGAAATACCATTGATGGTAGGAAGAGAGATTGTGCCTTCCTTTTCAAACTCAGGCCCTTCAAAGTTGGTCCCTACTCCTCGCAAAAGAGTCGGCTGATTAACAGGATCAGGCAAATATATAGTTCCAACACCAGGTTTGACATTATCCATCGCTCGGGCCACTGGGACAGTTCCTATTCCCCTAGCCAACAATCCGATGAATTTGCGCTTGAAGGATTTCTCTGCGATGAGCCATGAAATGCGACGGTGGGCTTCGCTACGCAACACTCGCATTAGAATCAACGAATCGACAAACTATCATAGGATTGCAAAAGTCAGCGACTAGACGATTTAACAAGTATGAGCATGAAGCAAGCACTACAGCCGAAGACAAATATATATGTAAGGAAACATGAACGAAACCAACCTGATTCGCATGAGGCGCTGCAACTAGGATCAACGGACCCCTCCGAGGAATCTTCCAAGACCCCCGAGGATGGACTTCCCGGAAGAACAGGTCAATTAGCACCGAGAATGACCATAAGACCAAATCATATAGCCACCCAATTAAGGGGGGAATATATGGTTGTTTCGTCCCCATGATGCCGTAGAATAGATCTAAATGCGCTTGAGCCGATCGTCCCTCTTTGCACCTAGCTGCGGCGATGGCTCAAGGCCGGGAAACAATGGGGATCTTTGATGGACCAGTCTCTCAAGATTGCGAGTCCCTTCCCAGTCGCTGTCCGATCCCGATATGATGAAGCCGGAAGCACGCGTCGATGCGACCGAACCGGACATGCGCCTTCAAAACCAAACCACTTTGATGGAACTTATCTCACTCAGTTTTTAGGATTTGGAGTATAAGAGCTGTGAAGTCTTACTCCCTTTGGTTAAGATCTTGAAATCAGAGGCCTAGGAAAAAGCTGAAACGTAGCTATGTAGAGAGCAAAGTCGAGCCCATGTGACAGTGCTTGGCTTAAATAATAATGTCATAGATAACTTTTTAATAATACGTAGTGGGGGAGCGCAGGACGTCCCAAAAACCTGCGGTTTCGCCGTTTGTGCACGGACTGCACACCGGATTGGTTGAAAATAGAGCGACGCTTCTAGAACTGCAACCATAGTCACCTCTTAACCAAGCAAAGAGTAGATACTGTCTAGATAACGCATCTATCTTCTAATGTCTCAGGGGACAGTATTAGCTGCATCACTGTTGCACTATATCGCACAGCAGATTTTCGTTTAGCCGAGTTTCCCCTTTCCTATCGTCCGTTACAACCAGGATCATCAGGGTCGTGCAATAGTAAATTACTAAAACTGGTGACATACAGTCAGAACTCATAGGTATCACTTTTGCCCTTCCACGTAGCACGAGACCTGGAGCTTCCAGCAAGTGTCCATGGGTCTGATGATCTGATCCTAAACTCAATTCTGCGGGGAGCTTGCTTTAGATACACACGGGCAAGCTCCCGATCTCTACATTTCGGTGCCCAATCAATTCTTAATTGGAGAGGACTGATCATTTAACAATCTCCTGAGATTGCTCGCTGTGCATCAATATGACTTGGAGAGTAATCTGAGGAGATGTTTGTTACTTGACATTCTTCGCAAATACCTGAGGATTACATAGGTATGCTCGACGGTCTCTTGGCAAAGGCATGGCATATACAGTTGTCGCTCTTCAGCTACAAAGGTTGATGCGCTGCTTGCTTTCTCCAAGATGCAAGTTGCTGATAGCACTGCAACTTTTTCTGTGGGAAAATATACATAGGTCTGGTCATCCACATCGAGTACGTTGGCGTTGTCATTATAGCCACCTTAGCAGTCAGGAAGCACCGTCAGCGGTGTCATAGGCGCTGCAAAAGCCCACAGAAAGACTCCTGCTCAGAATGGCATCTTCATCCATATACTGGATTAAGCGTCCTTATCCACCTGGGTGTCTGACTGGTGTCATCGCTGTATTCTCACCCCTAAGGCAAAGACTTCGAAACAAACCGGACGATGCACCATATGAGTAGTGTATAGCTACAACTCAGGGTTCACTGGAGGTCGATGTTCTCCTACCGATGCTCACCTACAGCTGAGCTTCGCGGTACGCGCCCGCCTGGTAGACTCTATCCTGCGACTCTTCTATGTCGACAGCTTCAGTCCTGTTCGTGTTCCTATCGGCACCAAGGTCCGGCCTGACATAGGCCCTGCCGCGCTGCAATCGGTCCACTTTACAAACACCAGCCACGGAGTGAAGCATTTTGGGTAATACCAGGCAAGCTGCAAAGGCAGGCATAGACTTAAAGTCCAATGGACCGCGCCTCGACGAAGGGGGGATCCCCTTTCTCAGGAACCCAGGCGAACAGTATACCCACTACCTTTTGGACACGAGAGGTTTCTTTTTATACAGGGTGATTGCACCGAGCGTGCGCAGTAGCTGTGTTTTGAGCAAACAATCCTATGTGCAGTCCACTATGATAGCGGATAAATACGTCATCTACCTTGTGACAGATAGCACAACATTTCTTCCGCAGATTTAGAAAGAGAAATAGTGCAGTAACTTGATACTACCAAAAAGCTGATGAATAGGTGCTGATCAGATTAAGATAAGGAGCATCAAAGAGAAATAAGTTAGTGTTGGGAATGCGCTCCTCAAACGGCTTGCGTCGGTAATCCTGGTGGATACAGCAAGAAAGTTCTCGCAGCAGCCTCCATTGTTTTCAGTGTTTGCCATCCCGATAAGGCACCCAGGTTCTAACTGTCCATATGAAGTGAGGTCAGAGACAACGACTCAAGGCAAAGGCCATCAGATTTACGCTCTATCTTGTGCGCTCATGAACATCTAATACGTATCATACTGCCGCTTTTAGACCCAATTCCAGTGTCCTCAATCTCCCCGCTCAAGGACTGCCCCACGCTACGGAGTACATGGCGAGTATATAGTGCGGATCGTCACGAATATCACGCAGCTACGAGTCCAAAACTGCCGGCTTGCCGCTGTTGACGTTACCTTGGTTATTCTCAAACACGGCGACGGATTTTGCTACAAAATTTCCGAAGGTGAAGAGTTTGCCATCACTCTATTTAGCTGCAGCATTTACGCAGCGTGGAGTAGCAAGGCTGTTAAACTGGACTGCGACCAACAGCTCTGACCATCTGGTCAGCGCATCTTTTTTCGCTCTCCCACGGGTCTCGACAAGTCTAGGATTTTGATGAGCGCATGTTAGGACATCTTTCGGACTAATTTCATCAACAATTTTCTAACGCCTCGAGCCACTGTTGGGTCCTGCAGAATCTACATACGCAACTGGCACAGTGTGAAGACCGACAAAGCGCTAACATTACTGGATCATTCTGTGTGGCTTTCAGCAGCCACATTTCTATGAAGAGTCCTTCAACAAGTCAACTCCGAGACACTTGATAATAGCGCTTGAGCCTGAGCGCGAGCGCATACATCGACACTTTTACGCAATATTGGAGCTGACCAGGCAAGATGTCAATCAAGTATGTGGACTTACCCTGGCTTCAGCGCCGTCTCTTATGCATAGTACCTGCATCGCTAGTCATTTGTCGCAGTTATTGTCCCTTCACCCTGATTGCCCCTGAAATGCATTGAGACATCTCTAACGTTGGACTGTACAGCTGGGTGATGCTTCATGACCGTGAAGGCTTCGTCAAACTTCCAAATGAGCAGTTGATATACACCTCTCCACCGCGCACGAGTCTCTCTCTGCAACCGCTCAGTTCGTACACGGGCAGTGATTCAATATCCCTGCAGAGCGGTGCCGGCCAGATCTATCTTACCAATCAGCGGGTCCGAATGAGTCTTTCCATCATCTTCTCCTGGAAAGCCCGCTGACATTGATGATAGGTTGTCTATATTCCCTCTCAGAAATCAAAAGACTTTCAATCATTCTCGGCTCCGCTTCTCAACATACATGACTCGCACGTTACTGCACCATTTTTCGGTCCAAACTTGTGGCTAGCCCTTGTTCAGCCTGTGTCTGGAGGAGGAATTCCCCCGTCATTGCCAGCTGTTCAACTGAAGCTAACGTTTAAAGAGGGAGGCGCGTTTGACTTCCACAATAACTTTGAGAGACTCAAGGAGCGTATGCAACAGGCACTTGAGCTCTCTCAAGAAAGCGGCCGAGGATCGAGAAATGTGGACCTCTCTACAATACATCTGGAAGAGCTGCCGGCCTACACGGGGCCACAGATTGATACGTCTGGAGTTCACTCTCACGACCAAAATCTATCACCCGACTCATATAGTCGCCAGGACAGTGCAGGGATAGAAGCAGAACCAATGGATCCACCGCCAGGTTATGAAGAAGTTCAACAACAGAGTGTTGCCAACGAACTTGAAGAAAGGCTACGCCGTGCCAGTTGACGCCGCGTGGGAGCTGGTTTTGATAATTCTAGACGTTGTGCTTATACATTCTCCATCTCTACGATTGTTTCCTTTCCCTCATCTTTTTGTCAAAGGTTTTCCCATTACATTACGAGATATCTTCAGGTTTAATGTACAATAATTGGGGAATTAATCACTCATCGCGATAAAATAGCACAAAACATAGGCTCGAGTCGTCCGAGAAATAATTCGCCGGGAATTCACTCCTCTCTATGAATGATCCATCCAGCCGTACAGATAGTGTGAGCTGAAGAGAAATCAAGAATGAAGTATTTATTGAACGACAGGTACAGAAGCATCCCTCCCGAAGCGTCGGCCAATCACGTGTGCGACAATTCGACCTCCCCGGCGCCGGGGTGTTCCGATTTTCCTGGACGGTCGGAGCCAAAGCTTCGTAAAACCACCATCCTCATCAAATCTCGCTCGCTGCTGACATTGCACCCCACACTCTCGACTCCAGGCCCTCCATTCTCGTCAATTGATACTTTCACACGGTCAGGATGGGTCTCGCCGACTTTTTCTCCGATATGATCTCCTCCCTGAGCTTCCCCGAGGCTCAGGCTGAGGCTCCCGCCGAGACCGTCGAGCAGACCAGCCAGGAGGCTGAATCCGAGGACAAGTCCGATGTGAGCGAGGAGAAGACCGAGGAAGAGAGCACCGAGAGCACGGAAGAATCTGGCGAGGAGACTCCCGCTGAGGAGTCTTCCGAGGAAAGCCAGGAAGAGCCCGAGGAAGAAGAAGAGGAGGAGGAGGAAGAAGAGGAGGAAGAGGAGGCTGTGGACATCAAGCCCAAGCTTGAGGAGGGTGAGTCACTCATTGTCGACCTGTGGTTTTCCCTTTGGCCCATCTACGACGTTGGGTCGATTTGTCGCGTCTTCATGAGTGAATACACACGCTTTCAGGTCTCCGGTTGTCCGCCTCATCGTAGGGCTGTCTGGACACCGGCGCAAAGACCCATTTCTATTTACTCATCCAACATTGTTATGTGATACTTACTGAACTTATCATAAACAGACTGCGCCAACGGTCCCCAGTGCGCCCCCTACAAGCACCACTACGATGAGTGCGTTGAGCGAGTGACCCGGCAGGAGGAGGACCCCGACCACAAGGGCCCCAAGGAGGACTGTGTTGAGGAGTGTAAGTGACTCGATTGGAATATTTGAGATTTGGCTAGCTTCGTTGGCCTTCAAGATGTGTTCGTGAGATCGCCGACTAACGCTGGCTTTGCCTGTTAACAGTCTTCCACCTCGCCCACTGCGCGACCAACTGCGCTGCCCCCAAGCTCTGGAAGGCTCTCAAATAAGCGGTTCGCCCTCGGACTGATTCCTACTGCTCTTTTTCTGCATTCAATGACAAGCGAAACCCAAAATGCCACGTTGGTTATCTGATCGGATAGAAAAAGAGCCGGGAGGAGTTGAATAGAAGTACATGATGGCCGGCATAATTGAATGTCAGCCTGCCGATATAGAATCCGGCATCGAATGAGCACGGGGCCTTCTTGACCGGGATATATGCTGGAAATGGGACGGCCCTATCATTCTGCTGCTGGCCTTGTTATGTTACGGTATGGAGGATGGTAAAAAATGGCATCCTTTGCCTGTATGTACAGATAGCTGGTCTTCGCCTGTTTGAAACTGTGCTTTTGCATTTTTCTTTGTTTTAGAATCAATGTTTCCGCTTTGCTTAGACTTGTGGTGCTCTCCCTGTCCGAGGCCTGGTGGCTGTAGATTGCTCTTCCATGAATTAATGTACGTTGAGTACTCAACAGCGGACTTTGACGTTAAATTTCACCTCAACTGGTATGCTTGAAGACATTAAATTCTCACAAGGTCCATTATTGATAGGCTTCACCAGAAATTTTACCGTCAAAAAGGAGCACTGCATAAAACAAGGAAAACAGCTGACGATAACCAAACTAGATCGCACAAAGCATTCCCTGACACTGACTGGGTATCCAAGAGTATTTTCAGATCATCCTCAAGATGAGTATTTAGTTGCCAGCTTCGGCATGTCAGAAGCAAGATCCAGTCCAGTATTGGGGTTCTCGTCGCCTATGCGCACGCCCGCACTGGCCGCCTCCTGGCCCCGGAAAACAGTATCCTCCAAGGCGACGCCGCGATCGACGTCCAACCGGCGGCGGCGGACATCCCGCCCAAACAAGCCGATGCAAATCGGAAACGGCGCCGCAACGGCGGCCACGACCGCAGCGAAAATCAAAGCATTTTTCATGTTCTGGGGCGGCGAGGCGTTATCCGAAGCTTTCAGGGCGTCCTGGATGAGGATGAACGCCGCGCCCAGGAGCTGGCCCCCCGTCCAGCAGATGGTGCTTCCTATCTCCGGCGAGAAAGGGTACGTGATCTCCACGAGGTACTCTAGCACGACGGGAAGGAGGGCGAAGGAGGATGCGCCGAGGAGGGCGCAGACGACGTATGCCGGGGCAATGCCTGCTGGACTGGACGGGGCGAAGATGAGGGCGATGTAGCAGATGGCGACGATAGGGATCAGGATCCGGATGGTGCCAAGGTAGTGCTTGAAGCGGTCGGTGATGGGAGAGATGATGGCCGAACTGATGAGGCCAACGATGATGAGGATGCCGCCTGCGATGCCGGCGTCTGTTTCGGAGAAGCCGTATGGTTCGAGAATCTGGTTCAGGAGGGAGGAGACGCTGTTGAAGAAGCCCACATAGACAGAGAAGGGGATCAGGATGAGCCAGAATTCGAGGGTTTTGAGGAGCTGAATGAGCGCCGGACGGAGGGGTGTTTTACTGCCCGCTGATGAAGCACTTGGGGGCGTTGGGGGCGCGGCTGGAATGAAGAATGATGGGATTGATGCGACGGTTGCCTGTCAAATTATGGATGTCATCAGTATTGCTGCTGATATGGGTTGTTTTACCATGATTGGCACTGCGTGACAATTCACTCCTGCTGATGGGATCCACGATGCACCTACAATGATCGATATGTACAGAACCATATCTGGAACCTGCTCGGGGGTTGTCGCCCAGAACGAATCGATCAACTGCCCCAAGGCTGCCCCCAATGGATTGGCCAAAGTTGCAACAGCCGTTGCGCTAATGCGCCCTCGATCAGAAAACCAAAGATCGCTGTACCTTGTCGGCGCACTCAAGCAGAATGGTTGCGCAAGACCGATGAGGATCTGCCCAAACATGGCCACACCGAAGATGCCTCCCCGGGCTTTCGTTCCGGCATATCGGATCCAGTTGCCCACGAGCAGGAGTGCAGATGTAGTGATGATGGCAGGTTTGGGACCGCCTTTGTTAAGAGTGAGGATGACTACTGGACTGGCGACGCAAAAGGCAAAAAGATAGCCAGTGCTCATCCAATTGATAGCGCTTTCCGAGACACCAAAATGCTGCGATGCGGTGGTGGATATAGAAGAAAAGGTGAGCCACTGAGTTTCCCAGGAACATGCAAAGATTAGCCAAATGCTGGTTCTGCGTCTGTCGTTAGAAAAGCGCACTTACGTCCCAGCTGACAACAATATTCAACAAAACTAGTTGAGCCAGCCCCCAAAATCGTCGTCTATACACCTTGTACACAGTCACCGTAGAAAGCGGGTCGGGTGATAGAGTGCCATCTTGGGAATCGGCTGCGAAATGACCTGTGGGCATCTTGGATGCTTGCGACACATACAGGTCGGCTGGAATACCATGACTCCAGACGGCAGAGGATGGGGTAGGAGATATCTATTAATGCAACGAGGAGATGAGCGAGACTTTGCTAGACGATGAGAGGTGTCACTGGCCGTCCACATGCTGGTTAATATCAGTTAGTTGCTTTAGTTCGTCGACATCCTTGTCCGTAGTGAACCCCGGCGTTATTCATGAGAGAGAGTGTTTCATTTCCTCCACTAAGCAGATAATCATTTAATCCTTTTGATTTCCTTTTGGTTTCTTCCGAGGTCCCTAATTTTAGTACGTAGTTACATAGATAGTGAACGTGAGTCCGAGTCATCTCAAGACAGATGAGATAAAGTGATCATGTGGGTGCGTGCGATCAACTGTGGGGTATTAGGCTAGATACGGAGTCCTCCGGAGCTACTCGTTGGGTTGGGTTATCACGCTCCGCTTGCAATAATCATACTGCCAATCGGTTTAGTTGGTAGCATAGTACCACTTTTTCATCAAATTTCGAACAGGTCATAATAATAATCAAAGTCTGATTGAATCCTAGACTAAGTAGACTAGTCTAACGTGAACTATATCCTGGACGCTGGCGAGATACTATCTACATGAACATGTCTCCTGTACTTTCGTCCGCCCAGAAAAGATCTGAAAGGATTATTATCAAACTGTCAACTGAAGATGGACCGATACCAGTTAATGTTGCAAGGGAACCTCCTCTACCCGCTAGATACAACATACATGCTCTGCTCTGTCAACTTGAGACACCTCTTTTGTGTATTCCAAGCACTCCGTACCCAAGGAGATCACTTCAGATGCGCAATCATCTTAGGATTTAGATTGTGCAAAAGACCTAATTCTTCAAAGTTCAGACGGCCATTAAGGCAATTCCACTGATCATTCTGATCATTGATATCGAGTACTATGGATCTGATACTTCTCTGAACACGCAAGTCTCCTGCACCTCAGCAAAGGACGAGATCATTGGCTAGATACTCGTACCTTCGGTAAGTCTGGATTTCAGGGGGAACATCCGCGGCTGAACCAGGGGTTGGTTAAGGAACCATATTTTCATAGGATCACAGTATCAAGTTCCAAGTGAATATTATCTATTATCAAAAGGAGATCGATCAGATAGAGAAGATTGTCTCATGCAGTCCACAAGTCTAATTAGTGGCCTAGAATGCGACAGGCTTTTGCTGATTCCATGTCTTTGTTACCTATCTAAGCACCTCCTAAGTATCTGAGATGCAGAAAAGAAAGCATATGCATGTAGCTACTACCAGTCATATCTCTTCTCCTAGAATCTAGATAGTTCGTGCGACTGTTATTATATTATCAATCATATCAATGATGTACTTATGAATGTCGATCCGTCATATTATGGTCTGTAGGCCTGTCCTTCAGATAGCCTCCTCATCCTCTTCTTCTGGGATAGAATTTAGACTTCTGCTGATCGTCGCTCTTCAATTCCCCCAAAGTCATTTTTCCCTCCCACCTTATCCACTTCAATATCCTCTGAATAACTTGCCACTACTCTGCTATAGCTCTTTCCACACAAATTGCCATTCATCGACCTCGGTTGACGTGGAAGTAGCCGCTGCTTTATGATAATGAACCCTGTTTGGTGACGGGTCGTCCCTGAGACAATTCTCCACACCAATCCATTGCCGCATTCCATCGCGCGTTTCATCAAAATATCTCCTCTCGAGAACCTAAGATGAACGATCACGATCGCTTTAGTCAGTCATCCTATGGCGACCCGAGATACCTATCGTCCGCCTCTTTCGAGGCCCCTCAGGCGCCTCCAGCCAAGGTTCTCATGGACGGCTACCGCGAGACGTTCGAGCCCCAATATGCGGAGAAATTGCGATACAATCCGGTGCGTTGAAACTCTCACTCGGTTTCTCTCTCACATTAAACCATGCTTTTAACACAGCTATTTTTTGTAGCTCAATCCGACCCAGCCGCGAAGTCCAGCTTTGCTGAACGCCAACGACCCCGTCGCCATGTACCTACTCACCGAAACCGCTATGGGGGACAGCATGAATTATGAAATAATGTCTTTGGAGGAAGTTGAGGCTTTGAAGAAAGATTACTCTTTTCTGTCCAGTCGCCTAAACGCAACCAACCGGAAATTAGCCCTGGAAATGAAACTGCGCGACGCGGCTCTGTCGCTCAGCAGATTAAACAACTCAACAAATCGTAGGGCTAGCGAAGAATACGACGCAGGGATCTCGCCGAGGTCTCGTCACAGCCCCAGTAATGGGTTCGGCGCTACGGGCTCATTGGACAAAACGGATGAGGAACTGGCAGCGAGCACACGAAAGTGCGAGGAGCTTGCTCAGGAAGTCTGGAAGTTGGAACGCAAGGCGCAGCACGTACGCCAAAGGTTATTGGAACATACAGCCGGTGTTCTACAGATGACGCATAAGGGGTTGAAGAAGAACCTGAGGAATGTCCCACACACCCCGGAGAGCCTCTCTAGCCACAACACCCGCGGCAGTATCGACGACTTTGACGACAGAAGCTTATACAAGGCGTCAGACAATCTTGATGGGCCAGCTGGCTCCGGTAGCCAAGACATGATTGCACTTGAAGTTATTGGTGATACTGAAAGGAGGCTGGAAGCCTTGAGTGAGAACCTGCGCGACATGGTTTTAAGGCTGCAACCTGAGAGCGACTATGATGCGATTCCTCAAACCTCGGGCGATGCGACATCGATCAATCCCACAGCGACAGTCGAAGCGCTTCTTACTTACATTGAGCGTGGATTGAATATAATCGCTGCAAAATCAGCTGAGACACCGCGCGCCTTGGAGTTGGATCACGGTACAGAGAACCATTTAATGGACATCAACGCCCGACTACACCACATTGTGGGGCAATCTGGGTTGTCTCGTTCACAGGCACTCTCTCCTCCCCCGGCGTCGTCCGGGAATGGCTTGCAAGCACATTTTGATTATCTGAATCTTAGTATTGATGATCTTCACAGCCAGATTGAGAAGCTCCTCGAACAGAAGAGTATCCTAACCACTCAAATTCAGCAACAGAGGGAACTGAACTCTAAATCGGACGCGGAGCGAGATGCACACATAGCCGATCTGGTCGAGCAGATTGCTCATCTCCGGAAAGACCTCGAGCTGTCTGAGCAGGAGACGCAGAGTGCAAAGGATGAACTCGACCTGGCAATCAAGCAACTTGAAGCTCTACGTCAGGAGTTCAACGACCTTCAACAACACAAGAGCGTCGCCGAAGACCACGCGAGCGCTTTGGCATCCGAAAAGGAAGCTCGAGCGCATGCGGAGGCGGAGCTGTCGCGCTTACATACTGTCATGCAGGAACTTGAGCAGGGGAGGGACGCTCAGACGGAAGCTCATGAAGCACGTGTGCGGGCTGAGCACGAGGTCGCTCGTCTGGAATCCTATCTTGAACAACTTCGATCCGAAAGCGCCACTCAAACAGAGGAACTCACTGCCGCTCGCTTGAAGGCAGACAGTGAGGTCACACGTCTGCAGAGTCTGGTTGATCAACTTCGCCAGGAGGCAAACGCCAGAGCGGAGGAAGCTACCGAGGCCCGGGACCGAGCCGAAGAACAAGTACTACAGCTGGAGAAGACGATGCAGCAAGTTCGCAACGATGCTGACGCACGGATCAAGGAAGCCTTAGATACCCGTGTCGCAGCAGAAGAGAGTGCGACTCGGCTGCAGGCTGAATTGAGTCAGATGACTAGCGAGGTTTCTCGGCTGCAAGACGCTATGGAAAAGCTTCGCACTAACATGGAATCTCGGCTCAGAGAAGCAGCTGAGGGACGTACAAACGCGGAACAGAGCGCGAGTCGTCTGCAGGCTGAATTGACAGAAATGGAAGGCGAAATAGTCAGGGTACAAACGGAACTGACAATGGCCAAAGCGGAGCTCGATGGCGCGTACGGTAGCAGAGCCCAACGAGCAGCAGAGGTGGCCGCCAATCCAGCTATCCAAAAGGAACTTGATGCCTTGAACACTAGGAATCTTGAGCTTGCGGAGGAGCTCGCAGCCCTCAAAGCCGGCAAGCCTGGAAGCAGCGATCTGCATCAGCGAGTGCAGATGCTGGAAAGGGAACTCCGGGAAACTATTGACGACTATGAAGTCATGACCAAGGCCAGCATCGAGTTCGAGAAAGAGCGTGAGAGGTACGAAGGCATGATTGACGGTCTACGTGACCGCTGCGAGCAATTGGAGACGCAGCTCAATGAGGAGCGAATCAATTGGATGGGTGTCAACAACGCAGTGGGACGAGATGGCACGTATGAGACCACTTCTACAATGGTCCTGAAGAATGAATTCAAGAAAATGATGCGAGACACTCGCATTGAGAACATGAAGATCCTCAAGGTCAGTTACAATGCCGCGACCTTCCTTTGCTGTTCTTCCATGCTAACCTATTTGTGCAGGCGGAACAAGAAGAACGAAGACGACTAGAGACTCAGATTCGGAATCTGAAGAAAGAACAAGCAGCAAGCGCTGGCAAGTCGAGTCTCAGCCACAGCGTCACGGCTTTATGAACATGATATCCTATAGACCTTCCTTTTTTTCCTTTTTTCGGTTACTCCGGCTTTCATGTCACCCATCAATCAGTACAGCCAATACTCTCGATGTGCATGTTAATTCTCTAATTCCCTCCATGTACTTTTTCCGAACTCTGGCCATCTGTGCTTATATTTGTCTCCGCACATATGATAACGAAGTTGACATTGTTTTATCAATCGCCTTGCTTTCGCTCGCTTTCCATTTGTGGATGCTGTATCCGTATTCCTGCTCCTGCCCTGTGACGAAGACAAACATCGCATACGAATGATGCGGAAAGTGCACAGGGCCATAAGGAGGTCTGCTGGCGAAGATTGTATCCCACGGCCCCGATCCTCTTTCACAATTGGTACACAGCGTCTTCTGCAGCCTTACTGATAATTATTCTTTCGTTCATGACCCCTGTTTGTCATTGAACAT